TTTAATAATCTTCCACCAACAATTAAAAGTCTAAATTATGATATAAAGGTATTCAAGCCTGCATTGAAAGATTACCTCTTTACTCACTCCTTCTATTCTGTAGATGATTTCATCTCTGCTGAAAATGTTTAAGCTTTATATCCATAATCTACGTATATGTAAAGCAAGTTTTGTATTTATATTTAAAATTCTGAGGTTTATGTATATTAATTTGTAAAATTAGTTTTCATACTTGTATTGCAGAATCTGAAATTTATGTACATTGATATGTGAAATATGTTCTTGTGTTGAAAGTTCTGAAGTGTATGTATACTGTATGAAATGACATGTTCTACATCCTTTGGTTGAGTCCTAAGAAGGATCTATGGAATGTAAATAAACTCTACTCTCTACTCATGCGGATCAATTTCTTTCCTCCTAATTTTGAACCACTAGGACCACACCAATGTCAATCAATGGACCTGCCTGATGTTTTCTGAACAGCAATGTACTTGTGCAAAGCACAATACAAGCCACCCACATTATGCACATCATGATCTTAGTACTCTGCAAACTATGTTACACTATATTATTAGCTATTTATGAGAATGTGTATGCATTTGTGATAAAACTTCTGTACACAATGCATTATTTAATTACCTGCAAATCAAGAACTTGAACAATAATAATCACCCCCAACAAACAAAATAATGCATATTTTTACAAAAATTATACAATTAACTATCATAAAATCTAAATGCAAGGCATGAAATCTAAGCATGGTAGTTAAAATGTGAATGATATTTTTTCCATTTTCTGAGGCTATAAATGCAGGGTGCCCTGATATACAAAAAATGTTACATTTCCTTGATTGGATTATGTGATCATATTTCAGAAAGACTGGTGTCCTGTCATATGGTATCACTGCATGATATAAAGCTCTGGCTACCACTTTAAAGCCTTTAACACTGTGAAAGGCAAGCTGAATTCCATTATATTCAAGATATCTGATTTCATGTCACCTCATACTTGAGAGAGACTGCCTTAAAATTATCATAACATACTGCTAAGGAAATATGGTCTGTGTTTGTTTCACTCATGATTTCATAAAGTTGAATTTCACAATAAAAACGAAGATGGTGTCTGTTACTTTAATTAATATTCCCAAAATTGTACAACATACACATAACTCCTGGCTAAATAATGATCTACTTACATGTAACACAGTATAAATATCAATGTTAACACACAGATGATTCTGAGTTTCGAGGTTTCAGGGTGATAAGTGTTTACATTTTTGTTCTGACTTATGAGACACCATGTAGTCATGTAGGTGGTTATCAATAGTCTGGAGGGAACAAATGTCTCCATCTTTGGGTAGAAGTGAGTAGGACTAGGATTTTGATGGATTATATAATCTATACCTCTTCTCCCAATCACTGGCTCTGATTTCCAAAATCTTCTAGTTTCAACTCCACACTCCACCTGTACTCACTTCTGCACTGAACACGGAAGCAACAGGTTCTACAGAAATAATGATAACCATCTACAAGACTACACCATGTAATAACCCAGAAGACAATGATCTAAAACAGATGAATATTCTGAAGACAGACTTTCTAAGACTGCGCTCGGCTACAAACCTAGCGGGAATACCACTGTACTACAAATAAAATGCAATAATCCTACTTCCAAGACAGATCTGCTACCAGTGCTACATGGTCAGATGGAAACACTACGCTGGGTAGAGCAACATACTGCTGCAATTCTTCAATGCTGGGCAAAGGAATCACCTATAACATAACATTATTTCACTGGGCAGGTCGCTCTTAAGAGAGATAAGATGCAATGTACCACATTCATAATTCTGAAACTTCTTAGATCTTATTTCACAACAATGGTTACATAGCTCAAGTGGAAGGATGACTGATAATGAATTTCAAAGGATGTGAAATAGAGAAGTCAGAGACTACTTTAAGGACTAACAAAGATTTGCTGGAGGGATTGAGCAGAACAGTGAAAAGCCAGTCAACATAGCAATTAATTGCAATGTGCAGTTACATAATGATGAACAAACAAGAAAAATAAAACTATAAAAAGCAAAACCTGAGTTTTTAAAACTGTTTATTATTTTGTTGCTTCTTTAACCCTTTCACCACAATGCCCCGAATGCCATAAGCTAGCATACAAGACACATCATGAAGATGACTTCACTTGTGGCAAAATGGTAAATATTACAGGCATGTTATAACTTGCCGCTTCCTACCGCAGTTCAAAGATGACAGCTTATTTCAAAATGTTGGTCACTTTTAACTTCCCAACAGAGTGCAATACTCAGATTTTGTAATAAAGCAACTAAGATAACTGGCAGAAAGTGAATCATATAACCATCAAAATGCCTTCTATACAAACACTCCTTTTACTGAATTATTAGTCTGCTTTAAACAACTAAACTGGGGTGTGATAAACTTACCTGGTCAACATTTAACCGATTACTCTGATAAAAGATGTAGTCAAGGCAACCAGCAAACCCCACAGTGAAGTTTGTGAACTCTGGTGTACCATACACACTAGCTAGATGGAGTGAATGTGACAGTGAAACACCTTTCACTTCTTCATCTTTATCTGAAAGCAAACATAAAACTGTAAGTGATACTTCTTCTTCCTGTGAGGCATCCATTTTTCTTGTGGGTCATCATACAAAGCCTCTTCCTGAGGCTTTGTAATATGTTCAAAACAGTTTCCTGTTCACTCCAATGCTGGTCTGCTGGAGTCACAGCTTCACCACAGCCCCATCTGCCGTCATTTTAGTGTTACTCCTGGGCATTCATTGCTACCTTGGAGGTGCTGGGGACAAAGTTCCTGTTATACATTGCTCCAAAAGGCACTCTCCTACTTGATGTTGTACCCCTCCCACGATGTGGATGCTGGGCTTGGGCTTTAGGAGGGGTGGAAGTGATTATTTGTGAAAATTTAAAGCCAGAGCTCATGTAAATGATATTTAAGAATTTAGTTCATACTACAAAGAAAACACAACACTTCTCCATTAAAAGATCAACTGGTTAAACCTGTACAACCACAGTTTATTCTGGGAATCATGCAAAACCCACAAAAATACAAAATGCAGCATTAATGATTGCTAAAGCAGATGGTACAAATAGGTACCTCTTAGCTCTACAGGTTCAAACACCAGTTTATAATCCATCTTGATACTTTATCAGTTCCTGAAGTTATCAAGCACTGAATTCAGCATTAAGGGTAATCATACAATGAATCAGAAAGTATTATATCTGCATGAAGCAGTATGACATACTTCAAGACAGTTTTTCTCAAACTGTGGGGTGCCCCACTGTTACGGCGTAAAATCATTTAGAGTGGGGCAAAATGTGGTAATACATATTTTTGCAAGAGAATTTGAAACACAATTATCTCGATGCCACTTTCCAAAAAATGCAGAATTCATTACCTCCAGTGGACTTTACCTCTCCATTCATTGTGCTTGTTGGGGGGGGGAGGCAGTGTATGTTCTATTCTGCCCCACCCTTTGGATATCCAAAAGATATTTATTCTTCTGTTTGTACCTGAAATAGGAGGACCAACATTCCATTCTGACTATTAACCTATGCACCAATGAATCAGACCACCCAGATGTCAATCTCTGGTCTGACATCTGAGTTACTAACCTTAAAGACCAGTCACAGTAATGAACAAAACGTGAGTTCATGCAAATTAAAAAGACACTTAGAAACAAATCATCCCAAAATTGTGAAAGAACCAAACAACTTCCTCCTTCATAACTAGAACCAGCATAAAATAATGATAAAGCAGACATCTTCAAAGGCCTTATTCACTGTATCGTGTGTTCCCAAAGCAAAAGAGAACCATTCAACTGTCAAGACTCTCATCTTACCATGCACAGCTGTTATCTGTCAAATTATGTTGGGCAAAATTGCAAGTGAGGACATAAAGTTAAATAATATCATTCTGCCAAAAATTGTATTAGTCTAGACACAAATAAGTGGTGAAACTTAGGTGCTGTTCTGCCTGTATCGCTGTATTATTCAGACAAAGACAACTTATGTCTTCTTTCTGTAAAAAGAAATCATATACATAACTTCTTCTTAAGGTTTACTCCACTGACCCAAGTCCTTCCTGAGAAACCAACGGTCACTTAGCCACTCAAGAAATTTCCAATAACTTTAAATATAACTGAAACTATATTCCTAAGCTGCAAAACATGTAAATGCCTTAACGTAAAATAAAAATGTTGAGAAATTTTCAATGTTTCTGATGCAGAAAAATTTGTAAAAAAGTTTAATTTTGGATTTACGTTGCTCCTCCATGAAAACCCTCAATTAACACCAAGTTTTTAACATAGCCTTTAAAAATATTAAGAAAAAAAACTTTGTGTGCCATGGAGAGGGAAAATTCTTGATTAGCCGAAGTTACGAAGTTATTACTATTAAGTATCTTGTGCACCTATGTGGAAGTGGGGTATGTTAAGCAGTTAGTAGAATTAAAATTTATTTCTGGAGCATTGGTTTACATATATGCTTGTATTACCTCACTTAACAATGTCTGTGCAATGTACTTTAATATCAAATTGTATCTGATGTTATGGTCTGTTTTTTATACTGCCTAATTTTGCTTCGACATTATCAATCAAATCAAATTACAGTATTACTCCAACTTACTACTGGTCCAATCAATGCAGTCTTCTGGTACATATTGTGTTGTTATCAGCCTATACACACCACATTCTGGTGTGCTGTTGAAGTCACCACAAAAGACATAGGACACCCTCTTCGCTTGATTCTGAAACCAGGGAAACCATAATATTGCTTACCATTTCATTCTTTTTAATATAAATTTAATCATCTTGACTGGGAGCATTTGAAAACAATGTGATGATGAGAATATTTACATCTCAGTGGGAAGAAATAAAAAGGAGGCTGGGCAAAACTGCATAATGGAGCACTTCATAATTTATATTCAGTGTTAATATTATTGACAATCTACATTACACTTTTATTATAAACTGTATCTAGCAGCTACATGTTTCCACATGTGCCACACATAACCACAAAATACAGTTAATAATAGTAGTGTATTGGAATTTATTTATTTTGTATCCAATTACACACAATTCAAAGTAGAAATCATTAAACAGAGTAATTCAATTCATTTATTAAAGTGCTTGACAACAGCCAAAAAGGCCAATAACAGCCAAGCACTAACAAAAATACAGACATTACAATACAAAAGCAAACAAACAAAGAACTGAAAACATAACTGTACAATATTGATTTATTGCAAAATAAGTCATAAGTAAAAAACTAAATGCTATAGATAAGTAAAATAATAATTATACTAAAAACAGTTTAATATTGGACAGAAAACATACACAATAAAATGTTATACTAAGTAAACAATAAAAACAATGATTATTGTTTAAAAAGCTGACTGACATCAGTAAGCAAAATACGATCTTTGTTAAAGATGTCGATGCTCCTACAGACTGCATTGGCAGCAGAAACGCATCTGGCAGAAGGACTGGCCTTGAAATTACGTTGTACAGTAAAGGTAGAGTAGTCTCTGATGGACCTAGTGGGTATGCAGAGACTAACTGTATCAAAAACAGATGAGCAACTAATTTTGCCTTTAAAAACATTGATGAGGAAAAGCGCATCCAAAAGCCTCCTCCTTAAATGTAACGATAAGAAGTTTAATCTAACTAGTATATCATCGTAATTATAGGCACACACGCCATTAAAGAATCTAGTGTAACATAGAGCTACAAATTTCCTTTGAATCCTTTCCAATTTAAAGGAATCAGTATTAGTAATAGAGTTCCAAACAACGGATGCATACTCAATTTTGGAACGGACTAAAGTGCTGTACAAAACCAAAAGGCTATCAACAGTGGAGAAGGAAGAAGTAATGTACCGAATCAAACCTAGCATTTTTAAGCCTTGTGAGAATATATAGTTAATATGCTGGTGAAAATAGAGCTTACAGTCCAGTAGAACACCGAGATCATTAACACAATGGGAGCGTGCCACCAGGTTGTTACACAATTTGTAATTAAAGTAAATACTGTTTGTCTTCCGAGTGAATGATATAACAGTAGTTTTACTTAAATTAAGTTGCATCCCATTCACAAGACACCAATTTTGCACTGAATGAATATCGTCCTGTAACAGTTTGCAGTCATCAACATCGCTAATACTCCGATACATCTTTAAGTCATCAGCAAATAAAAGGCACTGTGAATTATGTATGGAGTCGCAGATGTCATTAATGAATATATTAAAAAGTAAGGGGCCTAGGGTGGAACCCTGAGGC